AAAGAAAGAAAGAAAGAAAGAAAGAAAGAAAGAAAGAAAGAAAGAAACCATTCCAGACCCAACAGTAGTACAAAGTGGGGAACCAGCCCACCAAAGGCAATATTCCGTTTAAACACAGAAAAGTGCTAAGATATGCATTTCCAAGAAACCCAAGTCTTGCCATGTCAACTATGTGGCTGACAGAAATACAGCACTGTCGGGAATTATGCTGAAGAAATAGTTAAAGAGAAAAGAGCCGCCGCGTCAGATAATTATGTCCAAATAGACGACGTGGCAGTGCGTCTCACCCGTCTGAAGGTCAGCGTCGTAGGTTTTCACATGCATTATGCTGCTGATGCCACTCCGGATAACTGTCCTATCACCACCATCAGATTTCCTGACGCGAAGAATAGCCCCCAGTCTCCAGTCTGTCAAAAACACGTTATCTACGGAGGAAAAAAGAAAAGCAATTAGCATTTCAGATACATAATGGTATCTGGTAGTAATTAGGTTTAAACATCCATAGATAAAAATAAACATAAAAAAGAATCTTAAAGTTGAGTTCCTATCCCCAGGCAAAACACTTAATTGTGAAAAGGAAAGAAAGAACATCATCTCTAAGGCTGATGTGCAAAGTCCTGTACCCCACTGTAAGAATGCCTACTGTCTTTCAGGCTCAATCTTAATAAGAAGCTTTAGCAGGTGGTGGTGGCACAAACCTTTAATCCTAGCACTCAGGAGGCAGATGGATCTCTAAGTTTGAGGCCAGCCTGGTCTACAGAATGACTTCCAGGACAGCCAGTGCCACACACAGAAACCTGTCTCGAAAAAAAGAGAAGAAGGAGGAGGAGGAGGAAGAAGAAAAAAAGAGGAGGAGGAGGAAAAGTACAGATCTCGTCCCCAAAAAAGTATGTCTGAGTAAAAATATCAACAATTGTGTAAGCATCTACATACAATCTTTAATAGTTTAGATTTCAGCAGTGAATTCTGTGTAACACAAAACCACAACTAACTTATAATGTCACACGTTATAAAATTAATTTTCCTTATCTGTGGTCCATACTCGTAGGTCATTGAAGCCACTAAATCTTATCTCCCTTTAATGCAATTTTCAGTTCCACCATTCAGAGGAGTATCTTATGACATTTAAAGAGATGAGAAGTTCAATCAAACTCCTAGTCCTATTCAGTGTACAATCAAGAAAATCTAACCAGTCTTTGAGCAAAAAGTAATGGTTTGTATGGGTTTGTGAACTAAGAGGCCATACCATACCAATATAATGAAGCCAGGCATGGTGGCATTCACATATTTCTGAGACTGAGGAAGAAAGATCAAGGGTTTGAGTGAGCCTGGGCTATAGAGGGAGACCCTGTCTTCAAAGAAAAAGAAGGGAAAAAGAAGAAATTCATAACTTAAGTCAGAATTGACTGAAAAAAACTAACTCTATTTTGGGGATATAGCATTGTTCTCATGGGTGTGCACTCAATATTTTTCACACTGATAAAACCAAAATAAATTCAAACATCTCAGCATATAACAGAGAAAATAAACATTTAAAAAATGTTCCTATGTACTAGCAAATAGCATGTGTCTGACAATATTTAAAAGAGGGAGTAAATACGGGAGAGGTGACTGTTTATAACTGACTCAGCTCATCCAAAATCTCAGAGCATTTTTAAAACATTTTTTAAATACCACACACTCCACAGATAGATAGAAAGATGGAATATTCAGTATGACTACCACTCTAGCTGCTTACAGCACTATGCCAAGTATTCAAGTAGGGGTTTCTTTCAAAAGAGTTTATACACTGTTTCAACTAGTTTAGACACAGGGCTTTTGGTCACCCCTCAAACTGGACAAATATCAGTTGTCACGAATAGCCAGGATGAATTGCAGTCTCTCCTCATTCACTTTGCCTAACACTTTGTTTGTTCATTTGTTTGGACAGGGTCTCACTATTTAATTTATTCACTTGATGTTGGTTGTGAACTTGCTTTGCAGCCCAAGCTGGCCTCGTGATTCTCCTGCCTCAGCCTTCTAAGAGCTGGGATGACAGAAACACACCACCACAAGCTTTACATGAGCACTGTGTGTAATGCACAAGCTACACAGAGCCCTGTTTCAGGAATCCACCTGTTTTACTCTGCACAGTCTTGCTATGCAGGCAAGCCATGGCTTGATTATGTGGCCCAGGCCAATATCATGGTGATTTTCTTGCTTCAGCTTCCAAAGTGAGTATGTGCCACCAAGACTGGCTCACCAGATTATATTCTTATTCTCAGTGACTCAAGTCACAGAATCAAGTCTCCACTGAAGAAGGTAGTTGAGAGAAGGAGGCCAAAGTTTGGCTACCATCATGGCCTCTACTGTCTCCCACAATTCCATGATGCTCAGAAATCTTTGTTAGCAACATGAAAATATCAATGGAAAAACAATCATGTCTTTCTGTTCTTCATGAGTCATATTTTGGAATGGAGATAGAGTTTTGTGGCAAAACATTTTCCTAGCATGTATGAGACTTGGATTCAGTCCCCAGGTCTGGGGAGAAATAAAGCTATGCTTTACCATTTCTGTGAAACAAAGAGGACGTTACCTATTTTCTGACAAAACGCCTCCAAGACATTCAATGAATGTACAGTGATGAATACATATACTTGCCCTTCCACAAGGATTCTGATGAGGCTTTAGCCAGAGCACAGTGGCTACTGTATACACAGCTCTTGCTATTTTATTCTCTAGTTCAAGGCAAGTCTGATCTCAAAAATGATAAACGTAGTAATTTACTGTTCCCTCACATGATACTATCTAAGCACATACTCAGGAATTATACAGCAAGTACTACAAGCTGTTAATATTATGAAGATGTGTCCAGAACACTCTAAAGATGAAAATTTCCACCACCAAGCCAAACTTTTTCTACATATAATAGCCTAATTTTAAACTTAATTTACAATACAGCACACACTTGTTATCGCATTAAAACACACCTTTAAAAATGGTGAGTCCAAAAGGATGCGTCATCTGGTCGATTCGGCCCAATCTTTTTCTATCTAAACCGTCAAAGGTACTGTGCTCAATTTTATCAAAAAAGGCATCTACCCAGTACAGTCGTGAAGCACTGAAAAAAGAGGGGGAAAAAGTTATCTAATACCAAGAAATGAGTGTCTTGAGCCCTGAGGACATTTAGCAGTTATCTTTCCTACAAGAGTCAAATGTCTCTATTAAAAATGTTGTATGCCTCTCACAAATACAGGAAAGTTGAAACTTGAAACCTGTTCCCTTGAGAAATAAACAAAAATATTGATAATGTTAATGTTTAAAAGACTTAACACACTTCTGCCATTTTCTCCACAATCTACGTTAATAAACATATTATATTTAATAAATACTGAATTTAATAATATATTTAATAAATAAATATACTATATGCTCATTGGTCTTATTCTTAGATAAGATCAACTCTTGGAAACCCCAAAAGCATGTCAACACTAGTTTATTGATTCAATATTCATTAATTAATTCACTTAAGATGTCTCTACAAGAAATTAAACACAAGCTAGCTATATTTCATTAGCTCTCTATCCAGCCTCTAAGATGGTTTGGGACTTCATTCATCATGTCCCCATCATTCCGCTGTTTCTAGAAACACTAGTGTCTGAATTCTGTATCATTCAACATCCATCACTCATCACCTGGTAGTGATCAAAAGGTCTCAGAAGAACATACAGTACTCCTTGTCTTACTCCACCATGTGTCCAGGATACTGGATCCAGTGTCCAGCATGCCTTCTCCACGCTCTACTGTGATGAAACTTCAGATGGCATCTACTCACCTCCAGTCGATGGCCAAGCCATTGGGCCACCCCAGAGTAGTGTTGACTATAGTCGTTAGGTGAGACCCATCGCTCCACGCTCTCATAATTTTAGCAGGACGGAACCAGTCACTCATGAATATGTACCTAGAAAAAGTGGGAACAGATCAAGGAGGACAACACTGCAACACACTGATGACTTAAAAAGAGTTACAGTTGGGTTTACTCTGCGTACACGCTCTCAGGTTTGGCATATTTAATTCTAAGCTACCGTTTAAGTTATAAATATGTAACCGCAGTCACAGTTATAAATGATATTAAAATGGGCATCCAGGACGGAGAAGGACTAGACTGTAGGTCGTAAAACTTCAGTCTTCCAACACATTGGCGCACAGCTTTAATCCCAGCACTCAGGAGACAGAGGTCAGCCTGGTGTACATAGTGATTTCCAAGACAGCCAGAGCTACTGTGAGTTCAAGGCAAGTCTGATCTACATAGTGAGTTCTGCAACAGCCAGAGCTATACACAGTGAGAGACCCTGTTGTGTTTTTTGTCCTTAAACCACCTACATACCCAGGCAGTTAGCCAACTTGTGATCCTCTTGCCTCTGCCAACACCACCATACCAGGAATGCTAGAATAATAGTTATGTGCCATCTTTCACATATAACCCTTCTTCAGATGATATAGTAAAGGCTTCATGAGTGAGAAATCAAATTTTATTTTCTTTTTATTTTGGGATTAAAAACATTCAGAACCCATCAGATCATTCTCTATTCATTCTTCTATAAGGAATTTATAAATTTGCAAAACATTTCTCTCTAAGGTAGCAGAGAGATGGTTCAGGGATTTAAAAACACTTGCTCATAAGATCAGTAGTTCAAATCCCAGACACCCTCTTCTGGCCTCTAACTCATTCACAGGCATTTTCAACCTGCACATTCCTGTTTAAGTGCACATACACTTAAACAGACACATACAATATAAAAACACACACAGTACTCTAACTCTACACATATATGTGTGTATGCGTGTGCGTGTGTGCTGCCCCCCAGGTGAGGAAACCCAGCTGGATGAGTCACAAGCTTTGTCCTTATCATTCCATTCAGACACACCTGAGTGTCTCAGGCTTGTTCTGAAAAAGCTATTGAACATATTCAAGTAAGAACAGAACAGAAAAAGAACACTGTAGGCTAGTCGGTCTCCTCCTGTCTGACCCAGTGCTAATGGTAGCACATGAAATAGGGATTAGAAAGTTCTCAGCCGCCCCCAACCCAAGCTTCATACCAATAAACTGAAGCCAAGGCAAGAATTGGATCCTTTCTTGATAGCTCTGTTACATTTTTCCTCCCTGCAGTAACTTTAGAAAAACCATACTTCAGAGAAAGGTAAAACTTAAAAGAGAGGGTTTTGTTTTGTTTGTTTGTTTGTTTACATTTTTGAAGGTGATCTGGTGATCACCTAAGCTTATGGCAAAGAGATGAGATTGCAGGGTCGTTACGAAGTCCGGGCCCCAGGGCAGCGCACTGAAAGGCATTCAGCAGCACTCACGTACCCAGCAGCAGGGTGGACCACAATGGAGCGGGGGTTGTTTAAGTTGCTGATTATCTGTCGTCGGGACTTATCAGCCAGCTTCATGACGCTGACACTCTTTAGCCCTGCATCTGTCCAGTAGAGATTCCTTGAAATCCAGTCAAAAGTCAGACCCTCCACACTTTGCAACCTGTTTGCTGTGAGGACTTCTTTTCCTAGAAGTGAAAGTGTGGTTATGTTATTTAAAACAAATTTCCCAACTGCTGCACAGTTAAAGGTTGGATGAAAGGACATATTTTAAAAACACGTGCAGGATTCTTTAAAGAAAAAAAAAAAGAAGATTCTGCAAACTGCTGAGCAACAATGAGATAAACCTAAAATCTATCCCATGCCCACAGTTTGGATCTCAAAGAGGAGATACTGTAGTGATAAACAGACCTGGGTCTGGATTCACTCCCTTGTGTAACCTTCCAGAACATGTGAGAAAGAGATACCTGAACTCACCTACTACCACCCAGAGACAGCGCTGAGCTGACACTGCCAGGTACAGTCCGGGGCAGCCCACAAACACCACCGCCCAACCCTCCCGAGACTCTCAGCAGGCCACAGGGGGCCAAGATTGCAAAGGAACCAGAAGAGCCGGTTACAAGAGAAAAAGATCACAATTCCTCTGCACATCCTTCCCTGTGAAAACCTTGTGGCCTCCTTCTTTCCAGCTCATTGAGAATAAGCAACCACATTGCTCCATTTTGCAGTGTGTTTTAATAAAAAGAAAAAGCAGCCACACATGGCTGCTTTAATCCCAGAGGCAGGTGGATTTGTTGGAGTTCCGAGGCCAGCATGGTCTACAAAGAGTTCTAGGAGAGCCAGGGCTGCCCAGAAAAAAGAAGGAAGGAAGGAAGGAAGGAAGGAAGGAAGGAAGGAAGGAAGGAAGGAAGGAAGGGGAGAAAGAAAGGAAGGAAGGAAGGAAAGAGAGAGAGAGAAAGAAAGAAAGAAAGAAAGAAAGAAAGAAAGAAAGAAAGAAAGAAAGAAAGAAAAAGAAAGAAAGAAAGAAAGAAAGGAGAAAGAAAGAAAGAAAGAAAAAGATAAATAAAGAAAAATAAAAGGCTGTCTTCTGTGTTAATAATAAAAATATATGTCAGGTGCTTTATATGAATCTATGAATGAATATCACATGAGTAGGGACTGTGCCTCTTTTATGAAGAAGCTGGGAGAGATGGGAAATAAAGCATTGCATATAATAAACATAAAGAGGAGCTGGGAACAGTGGTGCATGCCTGTAATCCCAGCACTTTGGGAGGCATGAGCTGGTGGATCTCTGAGTTCAAGGCTAGCCTGGTCTACAAAGCAAGTCCAGGTCAGCCAGGACTACACAGAGAAAACCTGTCTCAAAAAAAAACAAAAATAAAGAAAGAAGCAGAGAGACAGGAGGAAGCAATGGGAGTCTCCTATGCACACAGATAGATAGTGCCTTCAGGTTCCCAATAGAAGCAGGTTCCCAATAGAAGGGGGAGAGAATTTCCCATGTTCTTGAAGCTTAGCTAGGGGCTAGTGAGTTAGTGACAGAGACTGAAGGATGAAGATGTCAAAGGACCACCAGGTTTTGGCTCCAAGAACTTTAAGTCTCATTTGTCAATATTGAAATGCATGTCCTTAAATAAACAGCCTGAGCCTAGGTGGTGGCCCAGAGCCTACAACCCCAGCTAGGTTACATAACACAGGTTAAGACCAACTGGTGCTTCATAGTAAGACCCTGACTCCAACAAACTTACAAGTAAATAAATACAATCTTGATTATAACTTGTTTTGAAAATATAGGAGAGGTGTCGGGGAACAGAGGTGGCTTGTATCTAGTACGCAAAACTCTAGAATGCTGAGACAGGGGGATCCCTGCAAGTTCCAAGCCAGCGTGTGCTACAGCAAAGGAGAGGGGTGAAAAAGGGCAGTGAGTGTGTGTGTGTGTGTGTGTGTGTGTGTGTGTGTGTGTGTGTGTGTGCGCAATTGGTAGTATCAGAGAAAGCAAGTCAAATATGTCAACATACACATTTTCTCACCTGTGCCATCGATTTTTTGTTTATAAATTATGTCTTTTGATAAATCTGAGAAGAAGATGGTGCTGTGTTGAGCATCAAAATCAATTCCAACAAAGTAGGAAGACCCTCCTGTGACAGGAACCATGACATCTTCCTGGGCAGAAAGCGTGAATGGGATCCCACGCACGGCCATTTTCGATGAGAAGAGCAAGAAGCTCTTAACGGCTGTAGAAGATGAAAGAAACAGGAGTCAGCCGACAGTGCAGACCCTGCCCTATTCCGGAGACACTGCTTCTTAGTTCACCAAGTACACTAGATAGTCACAAAAGGTAATTCTGAGAGGAACAACAGCTAAGTATAGTAAGTATAACTGGAAACCAGAGTCTAGAAGAAAAGCCTTGTCCTTGGGTTGTTGCATTTTTATACACAAGTATCACATATGTTCACACCATTTCCCTTTGTGTTTGAGGGGTGCGGGTGCCCTCCTGAGAGGGCAAAGGCCAGAAGAAGGTGCTCTAACCCCTATCCCCAGAGATGGTGTCTCTCACTGAACCTGCAGCTAACTTGTACAGAGAGAGGGGAGAGAGAGAGAGAGAGAGAGAGAGAGCAGCAATGAGCTAGATTATCCAAAAAGAAATACGAGAGTGAGAGAAGAGAGATTGAAGAAATGAAAAAAAAGAAAGATGCTGTCTAAAAGCAAAGAAAACCATGGCAGCATGTTAGAAAATTCAAAAAGGTACATCCAAAATATAAAGGCAAGAACTAAAGAAATTGAAAATCAAATCATTAGACAAGGTTCTATTTAAAAAAAAAATAGATTGTCTGTTAACAAATTTGTCTGAACTAAAATAAGAGATCACATATACTACACAGAGGCAGAGATATCCAGAGAGCAAGAATATGTCAAGAGGATGGAAAGAGTCATGATCAGCCTGAATAGATAGATGTGCTGATAACCCAAGAAAAAGGGCAGCCTCCAAGAGAGGCAGCAAGAAGAGAGGAAGGAAAGAAACAAGGCCAGGTGATCTAGAAGTCATCCACCAGAACAGGCAACTTCGTATCCCATCAAAATCAGGGCTGGCACCTAAAGTGGAAACAGGAAGGCCATGCGCAGGGCACAAGACCCTGGCGTTGCAAGCCCAGCACTGGAAAGAAATGTGTAGAACACTGAATGGTGGCACACACCTATGACCCACGAGTTCCAGGCCAGCATGAACTACAAGGTGAAACTGCCTAAAAAAAAAAAAAAAAAAAAAAAAAAGAAGTAGAAACAGAAAATAACTCAAACCCAATCGCATAGAACTTAAAGGCTATAGCTAGAAAAATGATAATAAAAAGAGAACAATGTTTCTTTGGTTTCAGTTTCAAATGGTTCTGCGTACAGAGAATGCTGTACCCTTCTTCTTACAGGGAAGACGTCAGACAGCAGAGCTAGCCTGTGCAGAGCTGAGGCTATCCGGGCAAAGCACGAGAACAGTGTGACGCCTGCCGGGAAGACAGTTAAGGCAGGCTTCTTACCAACACAGTGGCGCTCATCAGTGTCCAGTTCAAAGCCGAATTCACACTTGCAGCGGTAGCCCAGGCCACTGTTATCCGTCCTGTGACTGAGGACACAGACCTGTTCACAGCCCCCGTTGTTACTGCCACACGGATTGCTGGCTGCGGGAAGCATGTGGATTAAGATGTGTTGAGAAAAAGCAGTAACACGGAACATACAGAGCCATCTGGGGTGCCTGCAGTGGCTACAACTTCAGAGCCATTACTCCTCCTTCCCACCGGCCTCCAGTCTGCTCTCCCTCAACCTTCCACTCTTAAACTAGCAGTGGCAAAACCAGGGCTCCTCAGAATTTTCTTCTGTGAGATTCTTCTTTTTTTTTTTTCTGAAATAATTATGTCACAGTGTGCTAGCCTTAGCCTGTATTAGATAACTGAAGATATCCAAATGATTTATTCCTTTGATATAAATTTTCCTATTATATATATATACATATATATATATGTATTTTTTATATATATATATATATGTATATATGTATTTCTACTATGTAGTGAGTATATATTTTTCAAGTAACTTAGTGTACCACTAATAGCTCTGAAAAGTTGCCAAGATTTGAGTGCTTGGCTAAAATCTGGTTCCAAACCCTACACATCTGTCACCCAAGCTAGTTTGTCTTCATATAGCTAGCTCACTGCGGCCTGTGCTCAAGGCTGTCAACACTGAGTTACTCTGTCTGCTTTACAAAGATTTTGTTTGCTTGCTTGCTTGCTTTACGCACATGAGTGGTTGCCTGCATTAATGTCTGTGCACCATGTGTTCAGTGCCCAAGGAGGCCAGAAGAGGGAATCAGGTCCCCTAGAATGGAATTCGACTACCGTGAGTCAGCATGTGGGAGTTAGTGTGGGTCTCTTCCTGGCTGAGCCCCTCATCTGCTTTTCAAATTGTCTTCAGAACCTTTGATTTATACGTGTAAAACTCTTCCCTCTGTAAATGTGTTGATATGAGGAAATAATAAACAGACATCGTGCAGAGCCAAATAATGATATTAATATGGACGGCTAAATAGAATGCAGTAGCTTTGAACTCAGGAGCTCATCAATAGAGTCTGAAAAATCGTTCCAAATATTTCCAGAATATTTTCAGACCAAGCATGTATTTTTTTTCAAGTGTGTCACATTAAATGCTATCCATCTAAATATATCTAGTGTGTGATTTTGTTCTGGTATTTTTTTTTAAACTTTATAGCTTTTCTTCACAGTCAACATGAGAATTCTAAAACAAGTATCTTTCTCTAAGTTGTGATTTATCAAATCTTTCTACCAACATTGCTTTCAGTATTTATTTTCTTCAATCCAAAACACAGGAAATAGCCATACAACTTTGCAAATATGTCAAAGTTAAGTTTAAAACCCTCAAACACATGTAAACCCTACTCTAAAATAGCAGTATCTGAATCAAGATTCCTTCATGAAGTTTTGTGTTGTTTTGTTTTGTTTTGTTTTGTTTTTTTAACCAGTACTATCCAGTTTCTGTTACTATGGCTTTATAGGGTAATTCAAATTCGAAGAGCTACCTGCCAGTGCTGGGATTGAAGGCATTTACAACCAAAGTTTTAAATTAGGGACCAGACAAACATACTAAACATGTTTGTTCCCTGACAGCTGTAATGCAAACCAAAGAACAAATGCAAAGCGCATCCCCCAAACAAGTAGAAAACAAACTTGACACAAGGTAAAATGAGCACTTATGTCACATGGGACCCCAGTGTCCTCAAAAGTAGTCGCAGGTTTGCAATAGATTTCTCCCAGTAGAAATCAAGTGGTTACAATAGTTCATTTGCTGCTAGAACCCAAGCACCTGGGCAGGTTTCGGAATACACTACAGGAGCCAAGAAACTTCAGTTCAAGGAATCTCCTCTACATCCGTGATTGTAGCTCTAAAATAAGTGGCATCGATTTCTCCAAATGCTCATGATCTTGAGACAGTTTAGCGCTCTAGACGACCTTAAATATCTTCGAACAGCACCCAAACCTCCACACAGTACATCAGCATGAGTTCCCATAATTACAGGAAACTGTTTCTTGTACCAAGTAAGGTGATCATTGTCCAGAGACTTACCATGGGGCTGCCTGAGGGCATGGTAAACTGCCACCCCATTAGGCCTCAGGGAAGACTGGTGGTACACCTGAGGGTGGGTTTCTGTGAACTTGTTTGCTTTCATCACAGCCAGCTTCGTCCAATCAGTAAAGAACACATGTTCCTCAAACAAGCTTATTCCGAAGGGATGAGGGACAAGGGAGCCTCCGTGAATTACAGTCTTCCTGTTACAAAAGACACGTGCATGTGTCATAACACTGGTGCTTGTTTTTATTTTAGTGAAGGGGTAATTTGTTCAGTGGAATGTCTAAAAGCCTGTAACAGGACAAACTGAGACAAGATGCATTCTGGGATGCTTTTGAAATCCCTCCTGTTGTGGAAGTTTGGGTTTACGAAATGAGAAAAGCTGACAAGTGGCACCCAACATGGGGCTTGGCATAGTGGGCTTCAAATGCCGTAGAGGAGACAACAGGGTATGGAGAAAGGCATATACTGTTTCAGAAGATGAGCAAAAGGTTTACTGCCGCTCTTGCCACTGGGTCCTCTCATGCTCTGCTCCCAGAAGAGGTTTTCTGGTTTTGCTGTATTCCGTTTCAGAAAAGGTTGGGAGAATTATTGAACAATTAGAAAAGTTGCCAGTAGATATGGAGGAATATGAGAAACAAAAAATGGGTGAAATAAGAAAATCACAAGTGTCACTCGGATTGAAGAGTTGGCTGTACAACTAGAGAGTTTGTGGTTAGAGATGGAAGCACTTGAGAAGCAAATACCTGGAAAATGGTTCAGACCTGGTAACTGAGAGTTTCCCAAAATTGCCACCTTGCTCTGATCCATGCACTTCTGGTCTCAAGTCCCCAAAGCCCCTGGGAAGGCTGAGGACCCAGGAGGAGCAGAAGGACATACAGGCCTTGAGCAAACTGAGCTGCCAGAGGAGGAGCCTCAGGTTACAAGATTAGCACCATTCATTAGCTTTCCCAGTAGCCATCAGAGTTTTGGATATGAAAATGCTATGAGCTTCAAATGCGGTGAATTGGGTCATTTGAAAAGAAATTGTGACCAAGCCACCAAACGCAGAGCTCAAAAGGGCCAGTGTGTTAAATCTGAGAAATACGGTATGTTCCACCAGAGAAGTAGCACTCAGTTCTCAGCAAGAACCAGAGTTTGTAGATGCTGTGATAAAGGGGTCATCTGACTATTGAATGCATGTGCAAGAGAGACATAGAAGGTAACTTCTTGCCATTAGGAAACAGCTTTGGAGTCCTAGCTCAAAGCTCTCAACAGCAAAAAGTTTGAGCCTTTCCATGCAAGAGCAGTTCGCAAGTTATAGAAGAAACTATTGATTCAAAAAGCATTTGGTTCCTCCATCATCATTTTTTAAGAAAGCAACAGAAGGTCTCATTCATATTAAAATAAAAGCCATTTTTTAAACAGAAAAGGGGGAAATGTTGTGGAAGTTTTGGTTTATGACATGTAAACATGGTTTTACTTTAATCCCAGGTGTGGGATATGGAACTGATTTAAACTGTCCACAACAGTAAACTATCTGCCTAGTGAGGGTTTGGGGAGAAGCTCTTTGCCAGCTGCAGATAGTTTAAATCTGAGGACTCTGGAGAGGGAATAAATGGCAGAGCCCAGAGAGTGCTGGGATTGGGGTGGGGGGGCTCCAGGAAAGGGGAATGCTGCTGGTGCTTCCCCCATGCTGCTCCTGGTCGATGTTGATGCAGTGTGATGAGAAGTCAGAGATATGCTGAAATGAAGATTGGACTTGCCCCAAAGGACCACCGTAAACAAGGGGAGGCAGCTCAGAAAAACTAA